CCCTAGGCCGAGTCGGGATTTGAATCTGTGTCTAGGGTTGCCAGGTCTGGGTTGGAAAAAGCCTGGAGACTTTGGGGGTGGATCCAGGAAAGGGTGGGGTTTGGGGAGGGGAGGGGCCTCAGCATGGTGCAAGGCCACAGAGTCCACCCTCCAAAGCAGCCATTTTCTCCAGGGGAGCTGATCTCTGTCAGCTGGAGATCAGTTGTAAAAGCAGGAAATCCCCAGGCCCCACCTGGAGGCTGGCAACCCTATCTGTGTCTCCCAGGTTCCAGCTTGACATGTTACCCACGATGCCACGCTGGCTCTTATTTTGCTTTCCTCTCCGCATAATCTGCAAGGCCAGGGTTTCCACATGACTGCCTTCATATTTACACTTAAAAAAAAAAAAATCCTCCGCAACCTGTCCATGTCAGCAAGTGGTAAAACTCAGCACCTGTCATGGCAAAATGTTTCCAGGTTTGGTTGTGGGCCTTTCTAAGAGCTTCCATTCTAATACCAAATTAACTTAAATAGGACAACTATTGGGGGGAATGCATGGGTTATTTTTATAAGAAAAAGAGATGGAACTGATTATTTGAAAAGAAATGTCTTCTGTGTTCCTGTCAAGAGACCCTGGGAAAATTCTGTTTGTGGTGTAAGTTTTCCTGTCACTCCACAGTGAATGCTGAGACCATGAAATCAGATGGTTTCTCAACAACATTTGCCCAGGCTGTCGCTAAGCTTGCCCCTTTGTCCCTTCTGGATACTAAGGCCAGCAGTGACCTCTTGCTGTGCAGAGAGAGAGCACAGACAGTCTCTTCTCTTTTTTCCTCCCCCACCACCGACAATTAGGGTTACTAATTTAGATCTGACTTTTCTTCCATTCATTTTTCTCCCCTCTTAATTTAAACTAGGAACATTTCCACAGGCAAATAAATCAGTATACAGTGCTATACCTAAAGTAGATCTCTCTCATGAGTTTGTTTTATTACTTTACCTGAATTTGATGTTCTCCTAATTAAGGGAGAACTCTCGTTTCCAAGGCAAAACAGGGTTCCCAGCCCTTTCTTCCAGCCCTGGATTTTCCCATGTAAAACACCCCATGGGCTGCTTGTGATCCGTTTTCCCAGCTGAGGGGAAGGGGGCCGGGGGGGGGGGGACAATGGGAAGGGGAAACTGGTGAGCATTGGAAGAGTTAAACACCTTAAGGGTTAAGGTAAAGCAGAGCCTCTTCTTATCTGCCAAGGGTGCTTCCACACAGCAAGGATCCTCCGCATTGCTTCTATCAATACTACAAAATCAGAGCCATAAGAGAAGCCAATGTTGGACCAGGCCAATGGCCCATCCAGTCCAACACTCTGTGTCAAACAGTGGCCAATAACCAGGTGCCATCAGGAGGCCCACCAGTGGGGCTAGAACTCCAGAAGCCCTCCCACTGTTGCCCCCCAAGAACCGAGAACACAGAGCATCACTGCCCCCCACATAGTCTTCCATCTATACCTTACAGCTAATAGCCACTGCTAGACCCCTGCTTCATATGTTTAATCCAATCCCATGCCTGTTGGTGACGGAGCTTCCACACACCATTTCCTGTGTACTATTCTCTTGGCAAACGCAGGCCTGGGAAGACTCACTCGCCAAGCTCATCTCCATGTTTTGCCTCAGAATCTTTGTTTCGCATCTTCTATAGCATTATACATACTTTCTTGTGCCAGCAGTTTTGTTTGCAGCTCTGAACTGCACATTAAGACAGAAACAGGAAGTGGAATAAAATTGCACTGGAAGGCTAATCTTCTTTCAGTATAATTTGCCCCACAGACACAGACACAATGGTCCTTTCCACACTTGGATCTCATCCCTAGTTTTATCAGAGTTCAACTCACGACACAATACCTTGCATTTATCCCTGGTTACAACCGCATCCATTTATCCCGGGAAAAGTGTGGGGTGAAACCGGGGTGACCTCAATGTAATGTGGAAACAAAACATACCCCGAGATAATTACAGGGGTGAACTCGTGTGTAGTGTAGAACGTAAGTTTGGGGACAGGGCTGAACCAGGATTTAAGGTCTAGTGCAGAAAGGACTGAGCCAGGATTTAGCTCTTTCGAATCCTATTCCAATATACTCTGTGAAAAGGAATGTTAATATATTTGAATAGGTATCCTCCCCAACTAGCCTATTTGCAGTCAATTTGTTAGTATTTGAAGTTTGAGTGCTATCTTTTGTGACAACTGATGATCTGTCTTTGTGCTGGGCTTCATAAAACTTTAAATTTTGAATGTATGAAATAATCTCTGAATTTCCTGCGCATGTATTAAGCACTCTGCTCTTTTCTCTCTCTCTGGAATTCCCGGCTTTGGAACTTTGTTGCTGCTCTTGTTTCATAATGGTTTTAATGGGATGTGAAATTGTGAACTGCCCTGTCATCAGTACATCTAACTGCAAATCCAGTGGCATCACTCACACCTCGAACAAGCCACAAATGTTTAGGGTCGCCATTTCTGGGTTGCAAAAATACCTGGAGATTTCAGGGGTGGAGCCTGGAGAAAGCATGGTTTGGAGATGGGAGGGACCTCCGCAGAGTATAATGCCATACAGTCCACCCTCCAAAGCAGCCATTTTCTCCAGAACTAATAATGTGTTGGATCCCCAAGCATCGAGAATAAATCCACGTTTTAAGAAAACAGGTGCTACCTGGAGGTTGGCAACCTATTCGCGTTAAGGATCATGCCTGCCGCATCTTGGTTTCCATACCACTGAAGCCAACCACTACACACTCACCACCTGGGCCTGTGATTGAATTTATTAAAGAATGTTATTATTTTGCTGACAAAAAACCCCTCCTGTAATGTATTAAAACAGCATTTGGTAACTAATTAGCACAGTCGGGTCAACACTGTAATATTTCATGGGGAATAAAGTTTTGTGGCTCAGGAAATGAGGGCTTCTATTTCTTGCCACTCTCAGCAGCCAAGTCCTGGTTCTGCACACGGTTGCATGTTTAATTAGCAGTCCTTCTGTAAGTGTCTGCAATTAGCACTGCGATGATTAATAAAATAACCCTCTTTAAAGTGCCATTTAGCCAGCAGAAATGCAAAATCAGGGATAATTAATTCATCATTAATAAATCATGGCTGATTAACTAATCTGTTGATTACAAACACATTTAGAGCCCAGACTCCCACCTGAGCTCTATCTGGTTTTTTTCTGCACTAAACAGAAATGGAGACAAAGGGGGGGAAATAAACTAGACAAAAATTGTTTTAAGCAAGGAAGAAAGAAATCTGCATCAAGCAGCAAGTATATTGGTTTAGTCAGGAAGTTTTAGATAGGAGGTGCTTTAAGAAGTTATTAGGTGAGGATGATTTTTTTTATTCCCCTGAGAGAGAAAAACACATTGTCTATTTGTTAAATCTGGACAGGAGAGCTGTAATTGCTTCCTTAGTGCCACTACAGATTTAAGGAGCCCTACAAGCATTTCACACAGGTTAATTACTGCTGGTATTCAACCCCCAGGCTGAGCCTCCCTAGCGTGAAGCATGCAGTACCGATCCGTGCGTGGTAACTAATGTTCTGACAGGGATCTGAAACTAGAAATGGACCAACGCCAGCTGACCAGCCCGCAACCAGCATTAACCGAGAGATTCTGAAGATAGCTGCTATCCTTTGGGTGCTGCTTGGTTCTCAAACACAACCAAACACAAGGACTGAAGATTTCTGGTCTAGTTGGCCAGACAGGAAGTCTTCCACCTGAAGATTTTCTATCCAGTTTCCTAAAGGCTTGCCATCAGTTGTAAGGGTAGCCACATGCTCCTCTCTTACGCCATCCAGGCAAAATCATCCTTTTTGCCTTTTCTGGCCAAGATGTCGCTAGGGTTTTTGACAGAGTGGTTGAAATCTGCGCAGTCACAAAGGAAGGGGCTTCATATCAACAGCTTCCCACATGCAAAAGCACTTAGGCAGGATCTGTTTTCCTGCCACTGTACTTTTGAATTCATCATCTCCTTATAAGGAAACACTTGTTTACACAGAGATTGATTAAAAATTTGGAATTCACTACCAGAGGATGCAGTGATGGTCACAGGAATAAACAGCTTTAAAGGGGGATTAGATAGATTCATGGAGGAGAGGTCTATCACTGGCTACTAGCCATGGTGACTGAGGGAAACCTCCACATTCAGAAGCACTAAACCTCTGAATACCAGTGCCAGGAGGCAACATCAGGGGAAGATCTCAACCCCTATGCCCTGTTGTTGGTCATTCAGAGGAACAGGCTGGACACTGTGTGAGACAGGATGCTGGACTAGATGGACCACTGGTCTGATCCAGCAGGGCTCTTCTTATGTTCTTTTTTCCAAGTACTGTAAGACCTTCTTACACAGGTTGGCTTTGGGGGAGCTAAAATAATTTGGGAAGAGGGCCCAATGGATCTGCCACATTATGTATTTAGCAGTTAGGAACTCCTGGCCCTCAAATTCCCAAGTACATATGGTGTAAAACTTTCCTGTTTGTGCTAGGACCGAGTAGCACTTGAATTTAATTGGCTACTTTTTATTAGTTGTGGTTGCTTTTAATTTTTTTAAACTGTTCTGAGCAGTACCAAGGACTAAATAAAAACTGTGCTAAAGAAATGTGCTTCTTAATCTGTACTGTGAATCTGCTTGAAGCTATCAGCCAGCATGGTGTAGGGGTCAGATCAGGATCTAAAAAGGCTCAGGCTTAGATTCCCGCACTGGCATAAATTTTGTGGAGTGAACTTGGGCCAGTCACACACTCTCTCAGCTTAATCTACCTCACAGGCAGTGTTCCCTCTAAGCTGAGTTAGTGTGAGCTAGCTCAAAGTTTTTTAGCCTCTGGCTCACACATTTTCGTCTTAGCTCAGGAAGGATGGCTCCAGAGCAAACTAATTTATGCATTAGCCAAATAACTCGCTCACAACTTTAATGCTGGCAACTCACAAGGTAGAATGTTTGCTCACAAGACTGCACAGCTTAGAGGGAGCATTGCTCACAGGGTTGTTCTTAGGGTACAATGGAGGGGAGGAAGAACTATGTATACTACACTGAGCTCCTTGGAGGAAGGGTGCAATAAAACTATAGTGCATGAACTAAACTAGCAGGATGGGACTGGCTATAAAAATGCATATATAATAAGTAAGTTTCCATGTACTTTGTGTTTTCCATTTCAAATTAAGTAGGTGCATTCTTCTCAGTAAAATACACATCAACATCTACATGATCAGAACCAACAGAAAGTTGTACAGGTGGAGAGCTTGGATTCATTTTCTTCAAATAGTCAGAGAACCTTCTAACACCAAAACCGCTTGCCCACCAATGTCTACTCTTCCATCATCCCGAAGTGAAATCTTCAGCTCTCCTCCACGAGCAGAACACTGAAATGCTAAAAAGAAGAAGAAAAAGAAAGAGGAAGGAAAAGGCATTGAGTTGGATCCAGCAGAATAGGACTTCTTCACCTCCTCCCTATTTCTGCAGCCCAAAAGTGTCTCTGAAATGCTGCTCCAAGGGGACAGCAGACCCCCAGGAACAGCTTGAGGGAGGACTCTGCAGTGGAAGGAGGAAATTCAGTGAAAACACCTCCGGTTCCATTAGTGGAAATCTGCATCTACTAACTGTGTTTCCTACTAACGCTGCAAAAATTACAATTCATATCATGGTAACTGACTGTCATATTGGACTGTCATTGCTGAGCAGCAGATGAGAGAAGGGGAAAGCCTCTTCTGGGCCTCTGCGACAGTCAACTAACAGTGCAATCCTAGGCACTGTTCTACCCGTGGGCTTCACTTTGTCACTCTGCTTAGGATGGCACTGTAAACGCCTTCCAAAGAAACAAGACCCTTCAGAACTGAAGAAGAGTCAAATACAAAAAAAGAAGAACATTCCCGACAGGCTCGCCAGAGAAGAATTTCCTTCCCTCCCCCCATTCTGGCCCCTGCCTTTCCCCCTCCTGCTCCACCTTCACTATCCTTCCTTTGCTCCCCCCTGCAACTTCCTGCTTGCTCTGTGGCCCATCTGTGCCCTCCCACACCTGCTGTCTCCAGCGCCTGATCCCACCCACCCACCACCCTTTCTGGCTCACAGTTCCCACTCCCTCTCATGCCCCCTCTTCTCTTCCCTTTCCCTGCTGCACCCCCCGTTTCCCCAATTCAGCCACTCATCTCACCCACTCCTGCTTCCCCCTCCCGACGCTCCCCCTTCCATATTTAGTTGCCATTTGGGGTTGTTTCACCCAGTGTTCTTTCTTTTATTTGCACAAAAACTGTACATGCACAGATTTCACTGTTAACCGTTTATCTCAAAAACGTATACTGAAAAACTTACATTTTCCTGCAAAACCTGTGGGCTTCCCCAAGTTTGCAGAAATCTCTTCCATAGCCCAACATGGACACATCTTGCAGGCTTTTAATCTACATGGAGGCGTTACCCATGGCTATTAGATGTATGATATTGGCATTGATTTTAAGTCGCCGCAAAATTCTTAATCTACTTGTAATTCTTACTTTTAGAAAAAAGACACAGTAATTGAACCCCAGGTACAACCTGGAAGGATCAGCCATGTTTAAATTGATTTTTAATCAGATCTGAGAGAAAAAGCCAGTAAATTGAAACAGCTTGCCTAGCACAGTGGCTATGAAGACAGCAGCAAATATATATGGCTACCTAACTTTCTCATGCTCCCTCATGGATTACTGCCTTGTTGTGGCGAGGGGGCTTGCATGGTTCGATGAGGCTGTGGGCTATGCCATGGAGGGCCACCCAAGACGGACAGGCCACAGCAGAGAACTCAGACCAAGCGTGATCCCCTGGAGATGGAAATGGCAACCCACTCCATTATCTTTGCCAAGAAAACCCCATGGACAGTATCAAAAGGCTAAAAGATATGAGGCTGGATGATGAGCCCCTCAGGTTGGAAGGTGTCCAATATGCTACTGGGGAAGAGCAGAGGGCAAGTACAAGTAACCCCAGAAAGAGTGAAGCCAAAGCCGAAAGGATGCTCAGTTGTGGATGTGTCTGATGGTGAAAGGAAAGTCCGATGCTGCAAAGAGCAATACTGCATAGGAACCTGGAATGTAAGATCTGTGAATCAAGGTAAGCTTGACGTGGTCAAAAATGAGATGGCAAGACTGAACATCGATGATGAGGCTTTACAAATAGCAGAGGAAAGAAGGAAAGCGAAAGGCAAAGGCGAAAAGGAAAGATTTACCCAACTGAACGCAGATTTCCAGAGAACAGCAAGGAGAGATAAGGAGGCCTTCCTGAATGAACAGTGCAAAGTAATAGAAGAAAACAATAGAATGGGAAGGACTAGAGATCTCTTCAAGAAAATTGGAGAAATCAAGGGAGCGTTCCATGCAAAGCTGGCCATGATAAAGGACAAAAACGGTAGGGACCTAACAGAAGCAGAAGAGATTAGGAAAAGATGGCAAGAATACACAGAAGAACTATACAAGAAAGACCTCGATGTCCTTGACAACCACGACGGTATAATCACTGACCTCGAGCCAGACATCCTGGAATGTGAAGTTAAATGGGCCTTAGAAAGCATTACTAACAACAAAGCTAGTGGAGGTGATGGTATCCCAGCTGAGCTATTCAAAGTCTTAAAAGATGATGCTGTTAAAGTGCTGAACTCAATTTGCCAGCAAATTTGGAAAATGCAACAGTGGCCACAGGATTGGAAAAGGTCAGTATACATTCCAATCCCAAAGAAGGGCAATGCCAAGGAATGTTCAAACTATCGCACAATTGCACTCATATCACACGCTAGCAAGGTCATGCTCAAGATCCTACAAGCTAGGCTTCAACAGTACATGGATAGAGAACTGCCAGAAGTACAAGCTGGGTTTCGAAGAGGTAGAGGAACGAGAGATCAAATTGCCAACATTCGTTGGATTATGGAGAAAGCAAGAGAGTACCAGAAAAACATCTACTTCTGCTTCATTGACTATGCTAAAGCCTTTGACTGTGTGGATCACAACAAACTATGGCAGGTCCTTAAAGAGATGGGAGTACCAGACCACCTCACATGTCTCTTGAGAAACCTGTATAAGGGCCAAGAAGCGACAGTTAGAACCGGATACGGAACAACTGATTGGTTCAGCATAGGAAAAGGAGTACGACGACGTGGTCTCTGTGCTTCACACCCATGGGAGATTAGCGAGCAGTGGCCTACCTGGAGGAGGGTGCTGGCAGGTCCTTTACTGCATAGCCAAAGATAGAATGCGATGTCTCATGTTGGTATTAGAGTTTTTGTGGACGTCTAGGGCGTAGTGCCTGATAACAGTGTTAGGCGTGGCCCACATAGCCGCTTTGCAAATGTTCATCAGGGGCACTCCCTGGAGGAAGGCAGTGGAAGCTGCAACAGCTTGAGTTGAATGAGCCCTGATAGGGCCGGGCAATGGCTGTTTGGCAATCAGGTAACAGAGGCGGATGAGACCCGCAATCCACTTTGAGAGGCGCTGAGCCGTGATGGGAGTCCCCAGCCTTGATGGTGCGTACGAGACGAATAGTTGGGAGTCACGTCTCATCGAACGGGTTCTATTCAGATAGAACAGGAGCGCACGCTTCACATATAAGGTGTGTAACAGTCTGTCCTCTGAGGATGAGCCGGGAAGAAATCCGAGAGGAAGAGCTCTGCTTGTAGGTGGAATTCTGACACTACCTTTGGCAGGAACGAGATGTCAGGTACGAGGCGTACGCCATCTGGCAAAAAGGACAAGAATGGCGTGTCATGCCTGAAAGCCAGTATTTCTCCT